ATTAACGAGGAGGAAAAGTATAAATATTTTCGATAAAATTCGATAAATAAATAATTTAGATTTAAAATGCAGCTTTTATCTCAACAATTTGTAAAAAAAAAAATCATAAAATGGCATAAGTTGTTGTTTTTTTTTAGAAAAAGGTACATAAATTCTAATTTTTATATAATAATTTAAATTATGAATTCGTTTATTTAATACATGCTTTTAGATGAGTTAATAGATAACAGTGTTAGTTCTTGTTAATAATTTATGGTTTATTGGATGCATCCAGTTCTCCATCTTAATAAATAACAGTTTTTTTACTTATTTCAATTACGTTTCTATCGCCTGTTTAGCATGAAAATTATTAGTTTCCTTGTATACAGGGTGGTCCAAAAGTGTGAAAACACTTCTATATAACAAATCAGGTAATTCAATGACTCGATAGGGGAGAACCTGTTAGGCCATGTTAACAACATGGCAGCCATCTTGAAATTTGCCATTTTGGATTCAACTCCAAGTTTTTAAATTGGAAAGTGAACATGTGATATATCAAACTGGTGGAGAACATCACCAGACATATAACGGTGTGCTTAATTTTAATGTAACTTTACATATTCTCAAGGTTTAAATAATGTTTCTTCTTTACAGGTGGTGTGGATGCAAGGGCAACACATTGCGATGATGAGTGACGCAATAGCTTCAGATACAAGCAGATGTTGAAATCGTTTTGAAGAGTAAAACGCATGTTTCGGGCAAAAGATTTCAGCCACAGCTATTCAAACAGACTAGCTATTACCCACAGTACAATTGCCAAACTTCTTGCCAAATTCTGAGAAATCGGAAATACTGTTCTGATATCTTTTAGCGAGACTTAATACTTTCTGCTTTCTCTGCTTTTGAAGAGAGCAGAAACTTGAAAAAAGATATCCGGAAAACTCTGGAATTTCATTTAAACAAACCCTCTGAGCTTTTTCATTCCCTCGCAGAAAACTATAGTGAAGTAAAAAACGAACTCGATGCACTTAAAAATCAGTAGAACTGTGCTAAGTCTCTGGGAACTCAAAGTCTAGCTGACACCCCACCGAACGAAGAAATCAATCTATAGATAGTCTGACAGCATAGATATATTAAATAATATGGTTAATGGAATCTGTAGAGAGAGAGTCATCGAAGATCTGGAAAACAGCATCCGCATTAACACTATCAAAGACTCCGAAAAAGGATCCAGGAACATGAGGACGGAATTAAAAGAGAAAGCCGTTCAGAGCCTGGCAGGAGTAGCTTTCCTGACCTGATCCAGGAACTACGAAAGAATTATATTCAAGTCATTCGTCAATAAAAACGAGAATAGACTCTCTCGAATGACCCCAAGTGAATAATAACAATTTCGGGATTTTAAGAGTGCCACGAGCGAGAAATCTTCCTACGCGGATAGTAACGAGTGGAAGTTGCAGGTCGACGACCTCTTTATTGTGTGTGTTTTCTTACAGAGTAATGTGCACGCGGGGTTGCGGGCAGTGATATCCTCCTAAGCGCGCATTTGTACATTCGAGGACTAGAGAGAGGACCTAACTCTCTAAGTGTACTAAAAATAGGCTTACCATAATATTTTTTTCTCAAACCGGGACAATTTTGAGAAAATACTCGCAACAGAAAATTAGCTTACTAGGATAAGTATCTATGATTGAAAAGGCTAAATAAAGTAGTTTGTTAACAAAAACAACGAGTTAAAAGCAATTTTTAATAACTGAACTAAACATATCTTATTATTAATATTTATTTTAAAAATTCTTTGTCGTTTAAATCGGTACATTTAAAATATGGCAATACATTTGAGGAAGTTCCTATTGCTTGCGTTAGGTTTCACACATTTCAAATGATTTTAAATGTTTGATGCTCACCATGAGTTACTGAAAATTATGAAAAGCACAGATCATATTTCACTTTGTCAATACGATCATAGAACTTTTTTTTCAATCATCAATAAACACATGGTTTCTTTTTGGCATTTTAGAGATTAAATGAATTTAATATACCGCGCATTCTTTCATTCAGCAGTGCGCTGAGCAGTTGCTGCCGGAAATGACGTTTTCGCTGTTGACGGTTGAAAACACTTTTGCCGGAGAAAGAGCTATCTCAAAATGGCTGATATAAACAATGTTTTTCTTTCTTCTATATTTACGCGCATATTAGAAGAAAGGCCATTAAGTTCGATGTTATTTATAAGAAAACAAGGAAATGATGATTTATTTATGGCATTGGCTATGACTGATTCCCAACAACGAAGAAAGCGTGCAAAAATCGTTGGTTACGTTCACAATATCGTACCACAGTATTCGAATGAAATCTTTAAAAGCCATTTTCGTATGTCACGATTAAAAATCTGCTTATTTAAAAGAGCAAAAAACTGATTATTATTTGGTAGTCGAAAAAGATACTTTCTCATGGATGCTTCCATCTTGTAAGCACTATTTTTAGCGTAATCGAGAGGTGCTGCTAGTGCGCTGAAAGAGCACCTTAAGCGCGCTGACAGTAGGCTTAATAATTGAACACATGCGCTAAAAGGGCTGCAAACGCTGAATAAAAGAATGCGCAGATACTGTACGAAATAATTGCAAATGCCGATCAGCAATTTGAACTCGACTAAGAGATGACATGCACAGCAATGACGTGGCCAGTGTAAGTTTCAGTCTTGCCAACTCTAATTGAAACAAAATATCTAAAAAAAAAATGAAATAAAAATATCTAGATGTCATTGACTACGTGCTATTATAAATTCTGTGAAAAAATATCTGAATGACAAAATAAAACATCTAAATTCATTAGGCCATATGCTATAAATTTTTGAGGAAAACATATAGACAACATTAAAAGTACGATCTAGATACGAAATATTTAGATTGACAACAGTGAGTGTAACAGAGGGGTAAGTGCCAAATCGCCATTTTACTCGAGGCTGCACTATTTTTACTTCTTGTATATTCGGCACTTTAAAATTTTACCAAATAACCGGGACAAAATGACAAACTGGCCGGGACGCTGGGACAACATAGTCAAACTGGGACAATCCCGGTCAAAACGGGACGTCTGGTAAGCCTAACTAAAAACCTAATTTACATAAATTAGGTGCCTCACGAGGAGCCGATTCCCTTGCAACCTAGGCATGTGTCTGCGGGTGTCCAGACCCTAATAAAAAACTGTCCAAATCACAGAAAAGGTTAAAGTCGCAGCCAGAATACCATGGGAAAAGAGAGGCCTAATTTCATGTTATCGCGGGGGACAATTTCCCTTGGCATGCAGGATCCTGTTTCTAACTATCTAAAATCTATCAAAAACACCAAAATTCGTGTCGGGGATCAAAGGCCAAAGTTCAAATGTCCAATATTATGCAAAAAACTAGACTTGTTTCCTTCTAATTTGCATAATCTCGAGCATTTATAGCCTATATGTGGAGTCTCACCGCCCATACGCATCGTAACATTCGTCGTCTGTTCCAGGAATGTGGAGTTAGTCTACCTCAATAATGTGAAATTTGTCTTTGCATAATTGACACCCTCTACAAAATTCAATGCTTCTATAATGGCACGGATCGTCGGGTACAGTTTTCAGAATGATTGATGCAGAAGCTTCGGATATTGCAGCATTGTTTTCCCCTGTCATATGTTGTTTAATGATAGATCAAACTTCTTCGATGGTGAGGTGAACAAACAACCGACCGATAATGATCAGCATAAACACTGAACTGAGGTAATAGCTTAGCTAACTAAAGTGATGACATAGTGTAATGTGAGACAGTTCTTCATTGACAGCAGATAGGTGAGATTGTTACACAAAAATATATTTCATTGCTATTATCTGAAGGTGGGACAGTTTCTGATTTCTTCCAGCTCAATGTCCTCCATCACATTACGGACACATTGACAGAGAATATTTTAATATGCAGTTTTACTAAAGATGGTGTTAGAAGTGCAGTCGAGTGGCCACGCCGTTCCCAGATTTAAAACCTTTGGATTTATAACTGTGGAATAACATTAAGACACTTATTTATGCTGTGAAGATACGGGATCAATATAATTCCGTATCTTCACGGCATAAACAAGTGAAAATCATTTTATTTTGTTTATTTGAAACAGAGAATCATTGATGCTTATGTTAGCATAACACTTCTCCATTTCTGATTAATTTCTTCTCGTTAATACGTCAACATGGTAAACAGCACATCGAACATATTCTGTAGAGTGTACATCATTTAATTTTAATGTTGATAAAACAATTCGATGTATTTTACATAGGTCACAATTACGCACAATAGCGTTTTTCTGATTTAGCATAAAATCATGTAAACAATGAGGGCGGATGAGTAAAATTATATTGAAATTAAACACGCATTATTTTTGTGGAGAAATTCTCCACCAATCTGATGTCATATGCTCACTTTCCGTTTAAAACTTGGAGTTGAATTAACACGTTAAGACGGCCGCTGTGTTTCTGACATAACCTAAAAAAATTTTCCCTCTTTCCCATATCATATGTTAGGACATTGAATTATTTTTCAATAACCCATTTTTATGGGTGTTGCATACAATTGTAAAACTAAAAGCCAGAGTTGCGTTATTAAATAAAAAATATTCATACTTTTTATTCTGATATAACATAATTATCGTTTATTCTTTTCATTCATACATTTATAATTATACAACACATTTTTTTAGTTTATACACTTAAATTATTTTGACAACGTTTAGATAACTATCGCTAGTTTAAACTCACAATAAAGAGCATAACATAGATTATTTTAATTAAAAACTTGTTAAATAATCATATACATCATATTTATATCTTTTTAATTCTCAATATTTGATGTGCGATTGTTATTTACTTAACCAAATTTATACATTATCTTTCAATTTAATTTACTTATGAAACACGTAAATAAAATAAATCTTATTAGATGAGTTACGAATTAAAAACAATGATAATTAGACTAGTATTTAAAAATTATTCTACTCTGAACTCTACCACCATCCTTCATTCCAACCACCGTGGAATCCACCGTAAATTCCATCGTGAAGTCCTCCTCCATAGAGGTCATCGTGAAATCCACCGTGAAGAACTTTAATGTGATGATATCCAATATCGTGTTTAACTACTCTGTTTAAATATAATAAAATCATTAGGCTTTTATATATTTTAAAAAATGATTAACTAAAAAGTATGATTTATATTAAAAATAAATTATAAATTATCTTATCATTATTTTTCATTCATTTTTTAATGAAAGAATTGACTGGATGAATGCTTATGAGGAAGGATATTTGGTGTAATGGAATACGGCAATTAAAAAAAAATGGATGATCTTCCAAGAGGGTGTCTGCACTGAGGACTTTCCGTAGGAAACTCCAGTCCTGTTTAGATGTTAGACACGTGAAAAAAAAAAACCGTTAGTGAGGCTCGAACCCATGACTAGTGTTTGGGAGCTTATCCTCTAGACCGCTGATAGCCAGAAAGGATATATTTGATATTTTTACTAAATAAATTTTCAGTATCACATCAATAAATTAAATTTATGTGATATTGATAATTACATCAAAAATAATGTAATTTATTGATATCAATTAGATAATATCAAACTATATGTGCTATTATTTGAGAGTTCTTAAATATTTGACATGCTTTAAAACTATTTCAGAACATAGGCCAATAAGATTTCTAGAACTAATCTATAATTAAATAAGAAAATTTAATTTAAAATTACTTATTTTTTACTATAATGTTGCATAGTGAAATGCACACTTACGGAACATGATGATGACTTGTAGTGATGTGTTTCAAAATAGGAACTATAAATGGAATAGGGATGATGGTTGGTTTTTTTGCGATGCCGGCTAATAAAAGAGGCGCTGCATATTTTGCGATTTTCTTTAATTTTAACTTTTTACCACATTCTACGTATTGTACAAAAAGCGTAGAAATCAGCAAAACACATATTAACTGTACCTTCATTTTACTGGTAGAACCTATAAAACAATTTATCAGTAATCCCTTCAAAATTAAAAGTGAAAATATTAACAGTATGAGCTATAGATAAGCTGTTACCTGAGAGTTCTTTATATTTTGAGAAACAAAACGAATTTGGTTTGAGTTATCCCTTTGTATTTATATAAGTATAGCAATGTATATACACATGAGTAACCGATATTAAATTTATATTCATGTCATATACTATTTTTAGACTCTGAATTACGGGGTGCGGTCGTGCTTTCTTAAAACCAGAAGAGGAAATTTTTAGTAAAAGAAAATCTAAAATTTTATTTATCCTCTTAAGTGAGAGTAAAAACGTTTAATAAATAAAAATTTCCTCTTCTATAAATTTTCTATTTTTATACAAGTAATTTCCCCTAAAGTTCTTATCCAAAGTTATTTTGCTGTATTAAATTCTATAAGCTCTACAATAGACGGTTCGTAGGATTTTAATTCTAGTTTTAAATAGTGGATGATTGATGATGACAAATTTAATAATGTGTTTGACAATTGAATGATATAGATGTAAACCTTTTAATTTCAAAAAATATTTCCTTCAACATAATTATAAGTGCACAAAGGACAATATATTTTTTCATAAAACTAATTCAATATCTGCATATAATTATTTTCTCTCGCTTCTTCTCTGTATGCTGATGCATTTAAATATGAATTAATTGTTTATACATTAATTTCATAAAAGTTTTATCATTTTTTCATGTTAACTTTTATGTTAATTTTCCTTTTTTTATTTTTTTATCAATGAAAAAATCAAATGTTGAAGTTCTTCAACCTTATTAATAGGAGTGTTGTATTATCTTTATACAATTTCTGATGCTATATCAATCTGAATAAATTTATCTTTGTGGTAATTATTAAAGGAATTTTAATGATTTATGTTCATAGAATATAAGAATTTGAAAAAAAAACTGGTCAATGAACACCATGATAATGACTTCAAGCTCACTAATTAGGTCAAAGCACTCGTAACCTCTTGCTGGAAATACAGGCGTTTGTATAACTAAATACCTACATTTTTAAGGGGATTTTTTTGGCTGTATGAATTAATATATATGTATAATTATAACAATTTAAAGAACTTAAATATTTTATTTACATAATAATAAAATTTTGATGTGATTATTATACGTAAAAAAACGGAATATTTTAAGCAAATTATACTTACATTCACCATTTGAATGAAAATATTCAGAATATTTTCTTAATATTCTCTTCAAAATAGTTTTAAAATTTTTCGTAAATTTTTATGAAAAGTATATTATAATTATAAAAATTAATAATATATAGGCTTATATTTTACTTAAAAATGGTAAAAATTGAATTTTATGCATTAGTCTAATATTAATAGCAATTAAATAAAAGCTAAAAGATTTATTTTAACAAAGAATTGTATCATTGCAATGAGATGGGATAAGAGAAGTAAAACAGCATATGCCCAAGTACTTTGGTAGTCAGAAAATCCGAGCAAAATCAGGATGTTGCAGAGTATAGGAAGAATCTTTGAAGAAAATTCTCATTATTGATGATGAAACACATGTTCCCTTTAACCCTTCAAGAAGTATTAGCATGCAGAAAAACCCAAAAGAAGTCTCTGCGATAAAAGATCAAATCTGAAACTAAATTCTGCAAATGGTACCTCATTTGGAGAGTGATGAACTGATATTTGGCAATGTATCTAAACCCTATATTTCTGAAGACACTATTACGAGTGAAGTTTACTTAAACTATGCATTTAAGCCAAGCTCGTACCCTTCGTAGATCAGCATTACGAGAGAAATAATAATTTTTTTTTGACCAGACATGGCCATATTCTCTTTTGCAGACTTTGGATACTCTGCAAAAAAAAGAACATGGAAAACAGAAGTTGAAACCAAAAAATTTGAGAGAATTATGACAAATTTAGCAAAATATTAGCAATAAGGGCAAATAAATCCTAAAAACTGTGATCGACAAAGCTGCGAGAAAACTGGGAAATAGCATATGAGGATGTTAAATTCAACTTATTGAATTTCTAAAGAAAGTGGGCAACTTATATGTTCCATAAGAGTGATAAATTTGTCATAACAACATTTCATTTGGAATCTACAGCAATTGAATGTTTGTCTTTCTACTTTGGACACACCTTATATACATTTTTAATCACCAGATGAAAAACTCCACAAATATCTAGTTTTATCCACAATTATCTTTAAATAATTTTTACGGGTTCTTTTATCTAATCTTTCGTGTATTTTAAATCTTAAAGAAATAAATTAATTTAAGATCAAGATTAATTCGTAAGAAAAACTAAACTTGACATTCTATCATCTACAAAAAAGTAAAGCTAAAATTATTCGATGATAGATTTAAATCTTTGATAACAATTAGCGTTATTTTGTAGATATATATTTTTAATTTTTCTTTTATCTTTATGTTTTTATATGTATATTTTATAAAATATAAGTAATACAGAATTTCTTTAGTATCGTGCTTTGAATTTTATTAATTTATACGGACTTTTTAAAAAATATATATCTAAATCAGGATTGTGATAGAAATGCATATATCAATGATAGTAATTTTCCTCGAGGTTTATACAAATGTACTTTTTTTCTGAAATTATTTTCTAAGCGGAAAACATTCCTGCTTAGTTCAATAACCACCGTTTTCTCGACATTATAAACTATACTTGATTATAATATTAATGTTAAATAACGCTTATAACCCACAACTATACTTGTTTAATTGTTACTAATATCAGCTCCGAACACTAAAGATATTTTTGTGTACAATTAGTTACAATATCTACTAAGTAGAAGGGAACATATGCAATGTATTCGCCATTCCACTTCATAAATTACCGGAATACGCGATAATCTTGATATATTAATGCATTTATTTAATATTTTATGAATATATAAAAATTAACGTAACAGGATTTGCTTCAAAAAACGTGTCTGGAATATTTATGAGAAGGTCAAGGATGAGTTATATTTAGGTAGATTCCTCCTTGTTGATGAAAGTGAACGAGTTTCTTCCTAGGAGGAAAATTTGTGATGGTTTTAATATCGTTCTTTTTAAAATAAGTAGTGTTGAGATTCTAATTAGATTCATTCTTCTTGACATTTACAAGAGGAAAACATCAATTTTTAGTGTACTTAACAATTAACAGTTTAAACAGCTGAATAATGAATACAAATTATGATAAATAACGTGTCTTTGTATTAAAAAACTTTTTTTACAAGGAAATAAATGTTGTTAAACAAATTTCATCAAATTTAAGTCTTATCACTCGAGTAATATGGATTTAATAATTTACATTTCTTATATTTCACATTATTCCTGCGTAATATCACAATAATTACATTATAAATTTTGATTTTATAAATAGAAACCTGATAACGTCAATGTACGAGTGTTCAATAACTCCAATTTAACTTTTAAATATTTAGTTTTTCCCTGTTCCATATTGCCATTTTTTTCCTCTTGTTTTTTATATATTTATATATATATATATATATGTATATATACATACACATATATATTAGTTATTACTTTTTATTAATGTTTATAATGAAAGGGTATTTTAAATTTTGTAAATTTTACTAAAGAAATTTTAATATTTTCAAATTTAACAGGAGAATTTTTATAACACTGTCTTTATGACCTAAAATAGTCCCTATGTAAAACATGAATAAACGAAAATGGAGCTAAATATGTTCATAGAATAGGTTTTATTTTCTCTTTAAAATATAATATATAATTAAAGGCAACAAAATATTTTTTAAAAACTAAAAATCAAATGCTGTAATAACCTTTACTTCCATTATTCATTTTATGAATAATTTAAGTAGGAACTTTTCAACTATTTTAAATTAGAGTTACATAATTTAATATCTTGTAATTATTATTTTAATATTTTTTAAAATAATAATCATAAGATATAAGAAATCCTTGCTACTTTCTTAAGAATAGAAAACCAAATAATTTCTTTTTAATTTTATATTTATATAATAATGTTATAATTATATTAAATATTAAATTAACATTAAAATTATAATAAATGTCTTTAAACATTAAGAATTATAAACTTAAATTATAAACTTATTACTTCAACAATTTATAGAGGATAACATTTATTTATTTAGGCTATTTATTTTGTGAAATAAAATTTTTATAAGTATAAGTAAAATGTTTACTTTTACAGAATTCAAAATTTTATAAAAATAAAAATTCTTATCGATATAAATCGATAAAAATTTTTATTATTATTTTAATACGCGTGTATTAGGTTAATAATCTAAAATATAAAAAGAATTTATGCTATGTTTAATATTTTTTTATCAAAATTTTCCTGTTGACTTGAACTTCCTTTTCTTATTGAAATGAGAAAAGTAAAACATTGGATTTATTAATACTTAAATTTTAACTGATAAGATCTGAACTAAAAGAAATTAATAAAAATATTAACTTATAATAATTAATTGCTTAAAATTTAAGAAAAATGATTAATTTTTTTCTTAAATTCTACGTTTTACATTACGTGTTTTATTTTTTAAACAAATATAATTGCTCAGTATGATAAGATAAATCTTTAAAAAAAATCTATTTATTTTTATTTTTAAAGTAAATTGATTTATTTCTTAAAGTATATCATATCATTCAATGATCCCTGTAGGTAAATTTATTTTGCTACGGTTCATAAATTTTTTCTTTAATTTATATAAACAAAATAAAAAAATCTTTTCGATCTGTTTTTCTTATTTTAATATTTCCTTCATTGAAATTTTCCTAGTTAATATTTTCCTTTATTTGAATTTTATTTTATTGTTATTCATTTTTCTCTATTATTAAGACTTAGTATAAAACAATGCTCCTATTTTAATGATTATAAATGTATTCAACACAATAATACATACATTTATCACATTTAAAGTCTTAAAATGCATACAATTTATCAAACTTACTCTATAAAAAGTTTATTGGTAGAATTAACGTTTAATTAGAATTTTTATTTAATTTCATGTTTCCTTTAATTTCTTTGTCTTAATTTAAACGTAATTTATTAGACGATAAGTTTTATGAGATTT